AACCTGTCAAATTTACATATAACCTGACAAGTTTACACATAACCTCACAAGTTTACACATAACCTGTCAAGTTTACACATAACCTGAAAAGTTTACACATAATCTGTCAAGACTTAGCATCAAACCTGTTATTTCATAAAAATAAACCCAACTAAAACCTAATGTAAAAGCAGCCCAAACTTCACATGAAAACAACACAGTTTTTAAACGGCATCAAATTCATATCAAAAGATTTACAAATCACTGTTAAAGATCCTAGTTCCTTGATCAATACAACTTTGTTCAACTGCTCATGTAGTGTAAATTTCACCTTAATGCATTTCTTTAGACATTATTTACAGGATGATGGATATGATGAAGAAGATGATTAATAACTGAATTAATTCTGATCCCAAGCTTTAATTATATGTGTTAATGGCACATCAAAATATTCAAGTTTATTTTAGACATGATTACCAGAGTGTCTATCCATTCCAAACATAACTCCACCAAAGTCTAGGATTAATAATCCAACATATCTTAAATATCTCCCTTCAAACATTTTGTAACTGTACTATTTCTAATGATAACCATTAGCTGAGATATGCTGGCACTACAGTATAGCTGCCAACATTAGCACTACAGTATAGATGCCAACATTAGCACTACAGTATAGCTGCCAACATTAGCACTACAGTATAGCTGCCAACATCAGCACTTAAGTATAGCTGTCAACATTACCACTACAGTATAGCTGCCAACATTAGCACTACAGTATAGCTGCCGACAGTAGCACTACAGTATAGCTGCCAACATTAGCACTACAGTATAGCTGCCAACATTAGCACTACAGTATAGCTGCCAACATTAGCACTACAGTATAGATGCCAACATTAGCACTACAGTATAGCTGCCAACATTAGCACTACAGTATAGCTGCCAACATTAGCACTACAGTATAGCTGCCAACATTAGCACTACAGTATAGCTGCCGACAGTAGCACTACAGTATAGCTGCCAACATTAGCACTACAGTATAGCTGCCAACAGTAGCACTACAGTATAGCTGCCAACATCAGCACTTAAGTATAGCTGCCAACATTAGCACTACAGTATAGCTGCCAACATTAGCACTACAGTATAGCTGCCAACATTAGCACTACTGTGTAGCTGTCAATATTAGCACTACAGTATAGCTGCCAACATTAGCACTACAGTATAGCTGCCAACATTAGCACTACAGTATAGATGCCAACATTAGCACTACAGTATAGCTGCCAACATTAGCACTTAAGTATAGCTGCCACCATTAGCACTACAATAGCTATAGTATCACTGACAACAATAGTATCACTGACAACAATAGTATCACTGACTGCAATAGTATCACTGACAACAATAGCTATAGTATCACTGACAACAATAGTATCACTGACTGCAATAGTATCACTGACAACATTAGCTATAGTATCACTGACAACAATAGTATCACTGACAACAATAGCTATAGTATCACTGGCAACAACAGCTATAAGTATCACTGGCAACAATAGTATCCTTGACAACAATAGCTATAGTATCACTAACAACAATTGTATCACTGACAACATTAGCTATCGTATCACTGACAACAATAGTATCACTGACAACAATAGTATCACTGGCAACAACAGCTATAAGTATCACTAGCAACAATAGTATCACTGACAACAATAGTATCACTGACAACAATAGCTATAGTATCACTGGCAACAACAGCTATAAGTATCACTGACAACAACAGCTATAGTATCACTGACAACAATAGTATCACTGACAACAACAGCTATAGTATCACTGGCAACAACAGCTATAAGTATCAGTGGCAACAATAGCTATAGTATCACTGGCAACAATAGCTATAGTATCACTGGCAACAATAGTATCACTGACAACAATACTTATAGTATCACTGACAACAATAGTATCACTAACAACAATAGTATCCCTTACAACAATAGCTATAGTATCACTGACAACAATAGCTATAGTATCACTGGCAACAATAGTATCCCTGACAACAATACTTATAGTATCACTGACAACAATAGTATCACTGACAACAATAGTATCCCTGACAACAATAGCTATAGTATTGTTAGCAACACTTAGTTGAGTATTGCTGACAAGGTTTTGTGTGACACTGTATATTGCCTAAGTAAAACCACAAAAACTTTGTGACAATATAAGGAAGGATTTGAAATTATGGGTTAAATAATACGATAACAATTAAAAACTCTGAGCAGAGTGAGAAAAGCAAAGAAGGTTCATGAATATTGGCTAGGTTTGCACTCTTCAGTGTTACAACGGATACACTGACCAAACTCAATAGAACTTCAGTGACATTTAAGTCAATTACAACTGATGTATAAGTGTGGACAAAAAACCCATCCAGATCATGCTATAATATTGTCCCAGGAATATTTTGATCAGCAAATAAAACATAAAGATTGTGTTGATTTCCTAGCTATGGTTTAAAGCAATCTGCTATGTTATATATCTATTTTCAAATATAATCACATCATTAAAAGCTTGATTGGTTGAGGTCCAAAGTCTCTAAATGATTTTAAATAGTATATTTCACAAAAAATGTGTATAGATGATCTTGAAACAATACAAAGAGTTCATCAAAACTCAGCAAAATGTTCTACAACCTTGTGATGGAATTGTATAGGATGATAAACAAGAATATAAATACCATTTGACTTTTTTGCCCAACTCCACTTTCAGCTAGTAATTCTTTGGAAACTGTTTATATTCATTTGATTTACAGTAAAACGGTACCAGTGAAGGTGGCTATACAGTCTATCTCTTCTTAAACCTGTCTACAGCGGACACTTCCTATCTGTCTACATAGGGCAGTTCCTTTTCAATATACAGAAGACACTTCCTATTCAACCTGTCTACGCAGAACACTTCCTTCCTGTCTACAGAGGGCAGTTCTTATGTGACCTGTCTTCTCAGGACACTTCATACCTGTCTACAGAAGGCAGTTCCATTTCAATCTATCTACAGAGGACACATCCTATTCAACCTGTCTACAGATGACAATTCCTACCTGTCTAAGAGGGCAGTTCCTATTCAACCTGTCTACAGATGACAATTCCTACCTGTCTATAGAGGTCAGTACCTTTTCAATCTATCTACAGAGGACACTTCCTGTTCAACCTGTCTACAGATGACAATTCCTACCTGTCTACAGAGGGCAGTTTCATTTCAATCTATCTACAGGGGACACTTTCTATTCCACCTGTATACACAGGACAATTCCTACCTGTCTACAGAGGGCAGTACCTTTTCAATCTATCTACAGAGGACACTTCCTGTTCAACTTGTTGACACAGGACAATTCGTACCTGTCTACAGAGGGCAGTACCTTTTCAATCTATCCACAAAGGACACTTCCTTTTTAACCTGTTTACATAGGACACTTCCTACCTGTCTACAAAGGACAATCTTCAGTCAACATATCAACACAACCCTCAGTTAAACTGGTTACATACAATAGGTACTTGTCAGTCTGTAAATAAAGGACAAACCGAAGTCAACCTGTCTACATCGAACTGGTCTCTATCAGCCTGTTGATAGAAGGACAACTGTTAGTCAATCTGTCTAAATAACACAGTATCTGTTTAAATTACAGGACATGAGAAACAGACAACTTTATGACATCTAAATGACATCAGTGACAGAATACCTGTATGACATCACAATGACATCAGAGACAGGGTACCCATATGACACCTCAATGACATCAGTGACAGGATACCTGTATGACACCTCAATGACATCAGTGACAGGATACCTGTATGACACCTTAATGACATCAGTGACAGGATACCTGTATGACACCTCAATGACATCAGTGACAGGATACCTGTATGACACCTCAATAACATCAGTGACAGGATACCTGTATGACACCTTAATGACATCAGTGACAGGATACCTGTATGACACCTCAATGACATCAGAGACAGAGGACAACCTTACAACAGTAACCAATATGGGACCATAAAGAAATCAACAGAAATCACTGTTATGCTGAAGAACACCTCAAAGTCAAACAAACTCACTAATAAAACTTAAATAACAACATGGGGATTTCTGATCAACAGTTTGAGTGCTAATACAACTTTTTTACTTGAATGTTTAACTTCAATCCCTCAAAAAACTGATAATATCATAATATGAAAATTAATGAGATGTGCTTTGTGACATTTTATACAATTATCAAACAGGTAACACCATATAAACAACACTATTATGTAAGTATACAGTCCACAGAAGGCTGTAGATAACAATGTCACAGACTTAGGACATGGAGAAACAGAGGAGACGAAATAAGTATCAGACTCCTTCACATATTCATGTCAAATTATGGCTGAATGAGGTAAAATTAACTGATTTAATTGATCAACGCTACAAGGTTCCATGGAGACTAGTAGGATTTCTATTGTAGATCCTGTAATGGAATGCCTATCGAATGAACACACTGGACAAGCACACACACACTGCTACGCCTCCTCCAATATAGTAGTGTTACACATTGCTGGTGGTTTCCATGGCGTTGAGTACCGCCTCAGTCCACCCTGGTCTGCAACACATATATATCACAACCAGTAAGGTCAAGGTCATCTAATAACATACAGGCATTCATCATTGCATGTATACTGTACTCTGTCATCACACACAAAGCCCTCATAGTGCTTCTATCTCAAGAATTCAGCATGGCTTTTAAAACATATTTACTAGGTAATCCAAAACATTTAATACAATCATGTTTCCTCTTTTTTTTTTCATATATCAACAAATCCCAATCTGATCCCTTAAGCAAAGAACTGACAGGTACAATGGTAATGAAATGATGAAAGCCACATTGATTTTTTGCTGAGTCTAAGAAAGGACCATCCTGATGATTATGATGAAGATGAAGGAAGGCGAGGCGTGCAGTCAGAGACAAGCTATTTAGCGCGGTTTACCTCCATAGCTGGAGTTGGATGTGCTGGAAGTGCTCCGGTGGTGGGAACTGCCTGGCCCTGTTCTACCTGTAAGTAGCCAGGACACATTACTGTCATGCAATACATGCTGCCCCATGCTACAAACTCTTCTACCTATGGGAATGGGATTTTCCTTAGACAAACAACCGCGGGGTGGGATGGGCTTAACAATCAACAGGAAGGTGTGTGATGGGCCTCAAAGATACAAACAACCAGCAATGGAAGGGATTTACATACATCAGTTTGGAAGGGACATTATATACAATCTATCAATCTCAGGAGGTGGAATAAGTCTTTGAAACATTCAGCACTTAAATGGGTCTTATGCAAGACCCTATCTCCCTCCCTCAGGGCCAAATTTACCATTCAGACAGTATAAGTCCTTTGGTCCAAAGATTGACCAATACTTACTGACTTATTTATAGATTGTCCAACACTAGGGGTGGAATAAGCCTTATTTATAGATTGTCCAACACTAGGGGTGGAATTATCATTATTTATAGATTGTCCAAAATTAGGGATGGAATAAGCCATTTAAAGATTGTCCAACACTAGGGATGGAATTAGCATATTTATAGATTGTCAAAAACTAGGGATGGAAAAAGCCATTTAAAGATTGGCCAACACTAGGGATGGAATTAGCATATTTATAGATTGTCCAAAACTAGGGGTGGAATTATCATTATTTATAGATTGTCCAAAATTAGGGATGGAATAAGCCATTTAAAGATTGGCCAACACTAGGGATGGAATTAGCATATTTATAGATTGTCCAACACTAGGGGTGGAATTATCATTATTTATAGATTGTCAAAAACTAGGGATGGAAAAAGCCATTTAAAGATTGTCCAACACTAGGGATGGAATTAGCATATTTATAGATTGTCAAAAACTAGGGATGGAATAAGCCATTTAAAGATTGTCCAACACTAGGGATGGAATTAGCATATTTATAGATTGTCTAACACTAGGGATGGGAAAAGCCATTTAAAGATTGGCCAACACTAGGGATGGAATTAGCATATTTATAGATTGTCTAACACTAGGGATGGGAAAAGCCATTTAAAGATTGGCCAACACTAGGGATGGAATTAGCATATTTATAGATTGTCCAAAACTAGGGATGGAAAAAGCCATTTAAAGATTGGCCAACACTAGGGATGAAATTAGCATATTTATAGATTGTCTAACACTAGGGGTGGAAAAAGCCATTTAAAGATTGGCCAACACTAGGGATGGAATTAGCATATTTATAGATTGTCCAAAACTAGGGATGGAAAAAGCCATTTAAAGATTGGCCAACACTAGGGATGAAATTAGCATATTTATAGATTGTCTAACACTAGGGGTGGAAAAAGCCATTTAAAGATTGTCCAACACCAGGGATGGAATTAGCGTATTTATAGATTGTCTAACACTAGGGATGGAATAAGCCTTATTTATAGATTGTCCAACACTAGGAGTGGAATAAGCCTTATTTATGGATTCTTCAACACTAGGGGTTGATTAAGCCTCTTTAATAGATTGTCCAACATTAGGGGTGGAATAAGGGAGGTATGGGACTTTGCCATAGATTGTCCCCTAACAAATATCCAGATGCTTCCATCTGGGTAAAAAATGAGCTTTTCTTATAATTGTTCCATCCATATAAAGACTTTCATGAGGAGTTGTTCCTCAGTGAAATTCAAGAGGAAAAAACCTCTCCTCTTATCCATGCAAGTTATGTGCACCAAGTTGTAGAGCAGGGCATTCATAATACAGAAAAGAATGAAATTTTCTATGTAAAAAAAGTAAAGGAGTCTATTTATTTCAGAAACATAGTAAGAATGTGGCATAATGTTCATGGTTTATAAATACCAATGCAGCCATATAGAGAGGTATTGCAGGGTTTACGAGTGGACAGGTAAAATGCAGTTGTATTGATACTGTATCATTGTAATGTAGCAAGAGGATACTGTTAACACTAAGTACATCATACACAGGACTTACATGCCCTTAACATTATCATCTCAAGAAATTCATTTAGTTAATTACCAGTAATCAAGTACACTGTCAAAGATTATCACTGTTTCACTATTTCTAGAGTACAATACTAAACTGATTATTATGAACTAAAACAAATAAATGTGCTTCAAATAGAAATGTTAAACATGCAGACATACCTGGTTTTTTGAATGGTGCACTAGTAAAAGGATCTGATGAATCTGAGCCGGACATGACCAGGTCTTCTCTGCTCTTAACATTAGATATACCTGTAAAATACACAACATGACTAGGTCTTCTCTGCTCTTAACATTAGATATACCTGTAAAATACACAACATGACTAGGTCTTCTCTGCTCTTAACATTAGATATACCTGTAAAATACACAACATGACAAGGTCTTCTCTGCTCTTAACATTAGATATACCTGTAAAATACACAACATGACTAGGTCTCCTCTGCTCTTAACATTAGATATACCTGTAAAATACACAACATGACAAGGTCTCCTCTGCTCTTAACATTAGATATACCTGTAAAATACACAACATGACTAGGTCTCCTCTGCTCTTAACATTAGATATACCTGTAAAATACACTACATGACTAGGTCTTCTCTGCTCTTAACATTAGATATACCTGTAAAATACACAACATGACAAGGTCTTCTCTGCTCTTAACATTAGATATACCTGTAAAATACACAACATGACTAGGTCTTCTCTGCTCTTAACATTAGATATACCTGTAAAATACACTACATGACTAGGTCTTCTCTGCTCTTAACATTAGATATACCTGTAAAATACAAAACATGACAAGGTCTTCTCTGCTCTTAACATTAGATATACCTGTAAAATACACAACATGACTAGGTCTTCTCTGCTCTTAACATTAGATATACCTGTAAAATACAAAACATGACTAGTCTTCTCTGCTCTTAACATTAGATATACCTGTAAAATACACAACATGACTAGGTCTTCTCTGCTCTTAACAATAGTAAATACATTCATGTAAATAACAACACTTACATATAAAATCAACACTGTTAGTTATTAACTTACTACTATTTGAGCCACGCCTCAGTTTGTCAAATTCCTTGCCAAATATTTCCTCTTCTGTATCTACACCAAAGTTATCATCAAAAGGATTCCAGTCTGATATATCAGCTGATACAGCTCGTGTAAGTGTTGGTGATCTGTAAAAAATGGAATGATATCCAACCTTTATATCTCAGGAAATTCCTCCAAAAAATTCCTTACACAGGAAATATCTTACAGAAAATATCTTATACAGGAAATATCTTACAGAAAATATCTTATACAGGAAATATCTTATACAGGAAATATCTTACAGAAAATATCTTATACAGGAAATATCTTATACAGGAAATATCTTACAGAAAATATCTTATACAGGAAATACCTTATACAGGAAATATCTTACAGAAAATAGCTTATACAGGAAATACCTTATACAGGAAATATCAGGAAATATCTTATACAGGAAATACCTTATACAGGAAATATCAGGAAATATCTTATACAGGAAATACCTTATACAGGAAATATCAGGAAATATCTTATACAGGAAATATCAGGAAATATCTTATACAGGAAATACCTTATACAGGAAATACCTTATACAGGAAATATCAGGAAATATCTTATACAGGAAATACCTTATACAGGAAATATCAGGAAATATCTAGGAAATACCTTATACAGGAAATATCAGGAAATATCTTATACAGGAAATACCTTATACAGGAAATATCATGAAATATCTTATACTTTAATATTTTACTTTGAATTACCTAGGTGAGGAATGTACAGGTAGTGTGGTGGCTGACTTTGACTTACCTTGGTGAGGAATGTACAGGTAGTGTGGTGGCTGACTTTGACTTACCTAGGTGAGGAATGTACAGGTAGTGTGGTGGCTGACTTTGACTTACCTAGGTGAGGAATGTACAGGTAGTTTGGTGGCTGACTTTGACTTACCTTGGTGAGGAATGTACAGGTGATGTGGCTGACTTTGACTTACCTAGGTGAGGAATGTACAGGTGATGTGGTTGACTTTGACTTACCTAGGTGAGGAATGTACAGGTGATGTGGTGGCTGACTTTGACTTACCTAGGTGAGGAATGTACAGGTGATGTGGCTGACTTTGACTTACCTAGGTGAGGAATGTACAGGTGATGTGGTGGCTGACTTTGACTTACCTAGGTGAGGAATGTACAGGTGATGTGGCTGACTTTGACTTACCTAGGTGAGGAATGTACAGGTGATGTGGCTGACTTTGACTTACCTAGGTGAGGAATGTACAGGTGATGTGGCTGACTTTGACTTACCTAGGTGAGGAATGTACAGGTGATGTGGCTGACTTCGACTTACCTAGGTGAGGAATGTACAGGTGATGTGGCTGACTTTGACTTACCTAGGTGAGGAATGTACAGGTAATGTGGCTGACATTGACTTACCTTGGTGAGGAATGTACAGGTGATGTGGTGGCTGACTTTGACTTCCCTTGTAAAGGTGCTGACAACATGTTCCCTTGGTAGTTTCTGGTAATGTAACATAGACACTAATTAGTACAGATAATAAAGAGAGACACTTCTGCTTCTGTTCTCAGCATATTGTCTAGTGATCTGGACAATAAAAGTAACTTGTGTTGTAAAAGTATCAACTTTAAAGTAACACTACAGTTAACACCTAAATGCAAACTTATAAAACAAAATATATAAATACACACATGAAGTTTCCTGACAATTAAAGTCCACAGAGAGATGATGCCATGCTATATTACTGGTCTTGTAATATTCTTATCATCGCACACCAGGAAGATAGATAGAGACACTGTAAAAGGGTATTTCTATCAATATTGTGTTCCTATCAATGTTGTGTTCCTATCAATATTGTGTTCCTATCAATGTTGTGTTCCTATCAATGTTGTGCTCCTATCAATGTTGTGTTCCTATCAATGTTGTGTTCCTATCGATGTTGTGTTCCTATCAATGTTGTGATCCTATCAATGTTGTGTTCCTATCAATGTTGTGATCCTATCAATGTTGTGTTCTTAACAATGTTGTGTTCCTATCAATGTTGTGTTCCTATCAATATTGTGTTCCTATCAATGTTGTGTTCCTATCAATATTGTGTTCCTATCAATGTTGTGTTCCTATCAATGTTGTATTCCTATCAATGTTGTATTCCTATCTGATGAACCATGATGTATACAACAAAACACCAGACAACACCAATAGAAAAGGCTGACCAGTGTACCTTCCCTTGACCAACCTGAAGGCACTTCCCTTTCCTCCCATGGTAACGTAGGATGTATCACTGACATTTCTACGGTGACTCTTGACAACTTTCGGTGACAGAGGTGGTGTTATAGATATCAGTGGTTGAGCATCGGACTGAAACAACAGCAAATACACTTTTACTTATGTAACAAGTCATCAGTCTATACATTAGTACATATATTTAAATTGTCAAATCCCTCACTGGTACACATACATATCCTTTGATAGTTTCCCTTAAGAAGGAAAGAAGTGCTGTTTTTTTCTCTTTTTGATCTTTTTTTTAAACATTGCTGCAATGCCGATAATGATAACACATTCACTACATAACCTAGGGAAATCAACAATTTTCGAACAAATACTGAATATTTTAGATTTCTCAAGTATGACACAGTATCACTTACGATTGATATATAAAGCAGAAAAAAGAAAGCACTCTTCAGATTGGTTAATACCAAAAGTGACCACTAGTGACAACATTGGGTTTTATGTACCCTCTTTGTTGGGAAACACCAGTACCAGTGTTTTATGACACTACAACAAAGATCAATCTGCTCTATAGAATGATGTAGCTGGTATTACTGTTAGAGTATATCAGCATTTATCACAAATACTTACATTTTTGCCCACACTGCCTTTCTGTCGAGAATGAGAAGTGCTGGGGATTTTAAAATTTTCTTCGGTAGAATGGCGTTCTGACATATTGTTCTGTCCGACACTAGAGTTATATACACGATCATCCACAGTGTTTGTACCACCACGATTAAAGTTGTCAGGGAAGCTAGAAAACAGTGCCTCACTACTTTGGCTACTCTGCATGGTGGCAGACGGCACAGACTGTCCGTCCTGGTAGGAATGAGTCATCGCTCTTTGCTGAGCCATGTTTATCCGTTGTTGCTGTTGATGGTGGTGTTGTTGCTGTTGATGGTGGTGTTGTTGCTGTTGATGGTGGTGCTGCTGTTGATGGTGGTGGTGCTGCTGTTGTTGTTGTAGATTCTGTTGATACTGACGGCTTTGCATATACTGTTGTTGTTGCTGCTGCTGTTGTTGTTGTTGTTGTTGCATTTGTTGTTGCTGCATATAAAGTTGTTGTTGTTGTTGTTGTTGTTGTTTATACATCTGTTGGGAGTACATTTGTTGCTGGATAGCCTTTTGCTGAGCAATGTATTGTTGCTGGTTTTGAGGATACTGATGTGAAGCTTTCATCCCTGAGTTATACTGGTTTGGGGCCTGGCTGTAGTGATCCTGGGTTGGACCACTCGCACCATAGACCTGTTGTTGTTGTTGTTGTTGTTGCTGCTGACTAGATCTACTGGAATTTTGAGGTTGTGTTGCTTGAGGCAAGTGACTGGAACTAGCTTGTGATATATCTGTAGAAGAGAATAGCTCAGAAAATTCATACAATATACAAATACCTGTATATTTCTGTTCATTTACCTGTAGTTTTGAAACAAATATATACTAATGATAAATATTTACAACCTGTAAATTTCAAAATTAATTTTAAATGTATTTGACATTTATCAGAATTAATTTTATATGTATCAAAATAAGCTATCAGTGGCTATTTAAGAGAGGATACCTACCTGTATTAGGTGTTTGTGTAGGGGTTGGTCGTTTTCGTGGGGCGACCGAGGTCTGTAAGGGTAGTCCCAAAGTGACCCCTTGTGGAATAGCTTGTCCCTTTGGCCGAGATCGCGGGGTGACTGTGGTACTCTCTATAGCTGATGATGACACAGTTCTACAAACAAATAAAAGTATAGGTAAAATCAGTGACTAAATTCTGCTTCACGGTCTTAAAGAGACCTTACTCTCAACATTGTAAAATTACTGAAAAGCTATCACCTTATCACCTTCAAACCACAGACGCTCTTTGACAGATAATTTCTTTTTCTTTTTAATCTATTAAATATTATCATTCTTTTCATTGTTTATGATAATTTCTGATATGATCTATTTGTGCATGGTTGTTTTCTCTAAAATGAATCAGCTATATCTGACTTTCCACAAATCTATTACAACTCACTTGTACGTGGCAGTTTTCACCTGTCTTGCCTCTGACTCTGTCATAGGCAAGGTAAGCTTGGCAATTTCAGGAGTTTTACAACTCTGAAAAACAAAAAGATACCTTAGGTTTGATTTTAGAATGTACATGTAGTGCTAATCATGTGTTCACAGTAATGCTGAGCACCACAGAATAAAGAGTCGATTTTTCATGACATATACATTCATCAGAAATTGAAATATGTCTAAAATAAAGTTAATATTGGTGGATATCTGAGACTGAACATATAAATAGAAAATTGTAATAGGTCCCTGAGGTCTGTACACTTCTTACATAATATAAATCTATGTTTATAAAATCATTAATTCTCATGAGGGATCTTAATCCATGAATTCTTATGTCTACAAACTGTTATCATTACATTTACTGAGCTATATATATCGTCATTACATTTACTGGGCTATATATATCCACATTACATTTACTGAGCTATATATATCCACATTACATTTACTGAGCTATATATATCCACATTACATTTACTGAGCTATATATATCCACATTACATTTACTGAGCTATATATATCGTCATTACATTTACTGGGCTATATATATCCACATTACATTTACTGGGCTATATATATCCACATTACATTTACTGAGCTATATATATCCACATTACATTTACTGGGCTATATATATCCACATTACATTTACTGGGCTATATATATCCACATTACATTTACTGGGCTATATATATCCACATTACATTTACTGAGCTATATATATCCACATTACATTTACTGAGCTATATATATCCACAAAATAATGGGTTTTCCCCCCTGGAAATCCAGAAAAATTGAGTCCTAAGAAAATACAGGATTTAACAATATGTATATGTACTTACAAACATATTGGCTACAGGACAATCACGTCCTACTAGTTTAAACGCTACATATGACACTTGGTAAATATCTGGTCTCTTCACAGGGTCTACCTCTAACATGTAGGCTGCAACATAAAGTATTGATTACATAAACTAACAATAAAAAAGATCTATAATACAGGTAGACATTCATTTATCATCAACCTAAACATACTCAGAATTATAATACAACATGTCAATAAATCATGGTGGTTAATTAACTTTAATCGACCGGTTTCCTTAACTGGTATTCATGCTGCTGTGAATCACAAAGCAGATCATGATCAAGTTAATCAAACAACTTTAAATCATATAGCACATATTTTATCACTACATGTAAGATAATCTTATTTCAAACTGTATCTTTATTGTGAGATCTCAATCCAAACCGTATCTTTATTGTGAGATCTCAGTCCAAACCGTATCTTTATTGTGAGATCTCAATCCAAACTGTATCTTTATTGTGAGATCTCAATCCAAACCGTATCTTTATTGTGAGATCTCAATCTTTATTGTGAGATCTCAATCCAAACTGTATCTTTATTGTGAGATCTCAATCCAAACCATATCTTTATTGTGAGATCTCAATCCAAACTGTATCTTTATTGTGAGATCTCAATCCAAACCATATCTTTATTGTGAGATCTCAATCCAAACCATATCTTTATTGTGAGATCTCAATCCAAACTGTATCTTTATTGTGAGATCTCAATCCAAACCGTATCTTTATTGTGAGATCTCAATCCAAACTGTATCTTTATTGTGAGATCTCAATCCAAACTGTATCTTTATTGTGAGATCTCAATCCAAACTGTATCTTTATTGTGAGATCTCAATCCAAACTGTATCTTTATTGTGAGATCTCAATCCAAACCGTATCTTTATTGTGAGATCTCAATCCAAACCGTATCTTTATTGTGAGATCTCAATCCAAACCGTATCTTTATTGTGAGATCTCAATCCAAACTGTATCTTTATTGTGAGATCTCAATCCAAACTGTATCTTTATTGTGAGATCTCAGTCCAAACTGTATCTTTATTGTGAGATCTTACAACAAACGGTATCTTTATTGTGAGATCTCAATCCAAACCGTATCTTTATTGTGAGATCTCAATCCAAACTGTATCTTTATTGTGAGATCTTAATCCAAACTGTATCTTTATTGTGAGATCTCAATCCAAACTGTATCTTTATTGTGAGATCTCAATCCAAACTGTATCTTTATTGTGAGATCTCAGTCCAAACCGTATCTTTATTGTGAGATCTCAATCCAAACTGTATCTTTATTGTGAGATCTCAATCCAAACCGTATCTTTATTGTGAGATCTCAATCCAAACCGTATCTTTATTGTGAGATCTCAATCCAAACCGTATCTTTATTGTGAGATCTCAATGCAAACTGTATCTTTGTTGTGAGATCTCAATGCAAACTGTATCTTTATTGTGAGATCTCAATCCAAACTGTATCTTCATTGTGAGATCTCAATCCAAACTGTATCTTTATTGTGAGATCTCAATCCAAACTGTATCTTTATTGTGAGATCTCAATCCAAACTGTATCTTTATTGTGAGATCTCAATCCAAACTGTATCTTTATTCTAGCAATTTTACGTCCACAGCCTCTGAATTATTCAGTTTTGAAGATTTTAACTTAGGACATAGCTTTGGACTTTTATGTTATTCGCATGCATCACAGTTAGCCACTCATACCTTTATATTATTAACCTGCTATCTACCTAGTATGACCCTGGATTACCTTCGTTACTTGAAGATATTAAATAAACTTGAAGCCATTTTTGACCTTATTGATCAAAGATATACCTAATGAATCTGTACAAAGACCTTGTGTGTATGATCTTACCGGCATTCCCTACCTCCAGGGTATAAGGAATCTGAATGTTGTCTAACCTATTACTGACATTCCCTACCTCCAAGGTATAAGGAATCTGGATGTTGTCTTACCTATTACTGACATTCCCTACCTCCAGGGTATAAGGAATATGAATGTTGTCTAACCTATTACTGACATTCCCTACCTCCAGGGTATAAGGAATCTGGATGTTGTCTTACCTATTACTGACATGCCCTACCTCCAGGGTATAAGGAATCTGGATGTTGTCTTACCTATTACTGACATTCCCTACCTCCAAGGTATAAGGAATCTGGATGTTGTCTTACCTATTACTGACATTCCCTACCTCCAAGGTATAAGGAATCTGGATGTTGTCTTACCTATTACTGACATTCCCTACCTCCAGGGTATAAGGAATCTGGATGTTGTCTTACCTATTACTGACATTCCCTACCTCCAAGGTATAAGGAATCTGGATGTTGTCTTACCTATTACTGACATTCCCTACCTCCAAGGTATAAGGAATCTGGATGTTGTCTTACCTATTACTGACATGCCCTACCTCCAAGGTATAAGGAATCTGGATGTTGTCTTACCTATTACTGACATTCCCTACCTCCAAGGTATAAGGAATCTGGATGTTGTCTTACCTATTACTGACATTCCCTACCTCCAGGGTATAAGGAATCTGGATGTTGTCTTACCTATTAATGCGTGAATCCCGTTAGAGTATCTGGAGTTATCAGGTATAGTAAAGGTACCGCTCTGTATAGCCAGTGTGCTTTCACCAAACGGTAAGATGAAGAAACACAACTTGTACAACATACAACCTAATGCCTACAAAATACAAATCATGTCAGGTATAAATTGAGTGTTTGTTAACATCCCTTCTGTGAGGTAATGCATTCATCAGCCAATAAACCCATGTTTGGTGGTAACGTACCATATTCATGAACTGTAACCATCCACGGAGTCAGAGGTTATGTATAATATGGTATTTATTTTCAAGGTATTTTGTATTCAAACTCATTCATTAAATGACTTTTTTTTTTGGTAAATATTGATTCCTAAAAAAGTTACAATTCACAGTATCCCTAAGTGGTGAATGTCATTCTTCATTAAAATATTTAAATATAAAGTGTGCGGAACAAAGTCCACCTGAAACAATCAACAGTATAATGCAAGCATGTGTTTGATATCACTGACAATATATATGTAATAAGGAATAATATATTGTCTCGCTTCATTACAATCCCCTCATCTACAATTAATACATATCTATAACAGAATGAAAACATGGGTCTGCAAATTGCTTCAAACTTATACCAAAGTTTGTTATATGTTATCTTACCCATATATCTGCCTTGGTAGTGATTGGCTTTCCATTGTAGAGATCTACCATCTCCGGGGACCGGTAAGACAAAGTCGTATATCTAGATAGATAAAATTAAATGGTGATGAAGTTTTCTACACAATAAAATTCCAAAACTGAAACACTTCAGAATATTCCAAAACTGAAACACTTCAGAATACAAACAAAATATTGACAAAATACACACATCAAAAGACTGCACACAAAACAAAACAATGAATATACTGTATTTCCTGGGTTATAAGCTGCACTAGTATATAAGCCACAGAGCCGATTTTTACAGATATTTTTTATTCAATCCACATATAAGCCACACCAGAATATAAGACGCATCCTGTCTTATGTAGTGGTAACCGTTGTGTTAACAAGAGCTTGTTGATAGACAACTTAGGGCAATTTATCAAGATTGTCGGGCAAAATTAATTATGCACTGAAAAATCATAGTTATTGTACCAACTTACTTCTGAATCTCCTCTTCTACTTGTGAAACATTTTGCTGACTCGGATCAAGAACTTTAGCTGTAGCACTTCCAAAGTCACATAATACATAATGAGTGCTGTCCGATATAAGTATATTTTCAACCTGAAAATACAATTAATGCGTAAACTGTTAAGTCACCAGAAAATGATTTGCTGAAGAAATCTGACTCAAAATATGACTTTTTGTGACATGGACTAGATGTGAACTAGATGTGAGACATTGAATGTGTCTGCAGTACCATTCCCTGTTTAAAGGGTTCTAGTAAAGAACAAAACTAGGGAAGGGAAGTACTACCTCTGTTATATAGAAACAAGATATACCATTGGGTATACAGCCTTTGATAACTACATCTTGCTTGTTAACAAGAGATCAATGTCATTTAAATCTACAAAAAAAAAACAACAAAATTAATTGTCATTCTGCAGATTGCTACTGGAAACTGCTCTTTCAAAGTTCTATTTTTCATCTTTAGCTCACAAACTTAATCAAACTATACATAAGTAGTGCTTCAAAAATAGCTGTGATAAGAAATAGGAAGAAATCAATAGTCTGCGGATGGTTTTAACTTAATGATCAATAACAATGACTAAAATAGGACACCAACATTGTTGGTATCGCTCTTCATACAAAAACCTATGTTTAAACTTTTTTTTGCGAATAGGAAAAAAAAACTAGTGCAGAATAACCTGTGAGGATTACTGGCCTGTACAAATACCTTTTAAATCTCTGTGTATAATGGCCGTTTGACAATGGTGTAGTCTGGCCTGGTATATTTACCTTTAAATCCCTGTGTATTATGGACGTTTGACAATGGTGTAGTCTGGCCTGGTATATTTACCTTTAAATCCCTGTGTATTATGGATGTTTGACAATGGTGTAGTCTGTATTATGGATGTTTGACTGGTATATATAATGTATATTTATCTTTAAATCCCTGTGTATTATGGATGTTTGACAATGGTGTAGTCTGGCCTGGTATATATACATTTGAATCCCTGTGTATTATGGATGTTTGACAATGGTGTAGTCTGGCCTGGTATATATACATTTGAATCCCTGTGTATTATGGGCGTTTGACAATGGTGTAGTCTGGCCTGGTATATTTACCTTTAAATCCCTGTGTATTATGGATGTTTGACAATGGTGTAGTCTGGCCTTGTATATATACCTTTAAATCCCTGTGTATTATGGATGACGTTTGACAATGGTTTAGTGTGTATATATACCTTTAAATCCCTGTGTATAATGGGCGTTTGACAATGGTGTAGTCTGGCCTGGTATATTTACCTTTAAATCCCTGTGTATTATGGATGTTTGACAATGGTGTAGTCTGGCCTGGTATATTTACCTTTAAATCCCTGTGTATTATGGATGTTTGATAATGGTGTAGTCTGGCCTGGTATATTTACCTTTAAATCCCTGTGTATTATGGATGTTTGACAATGGTTTAGTCTGGCCTTGTATATATACCTTTAAATCCCTGTGTATTATGGATGTTTGACAATGGTGTAGTCTGGCCTTGTATATATACCTTTAAATCCCTGTGTATTATGGACGTTTGACAATGGTGTAGTCTGGCCTTGTATATATACCTTTAAATCCCTGTGTATTATGGATGTTTGACAATGGTGTAGTCTGGCCTTGTATATATACCTTTAAATCCCTGTGTATTATGGATGTTTGATAATGGTGTAGTCTGGCCTGGTATATTTACCTTTAAATCCCTGTGTATTATGGACGTTTGACAATGGTGTAGTCTGGCCTGGTATATATACATTTGAATCCCTGTGTATTATGGATGTTTGACAATGGTGTAGTCTGGCCTGGTATATATACCTTTAAATCCCTGTGTATATAGTCTGGCCTGGTATATATACCTTTAAATCCCTGTGTATTATGGATGTTTGACAATGGTGTAGTCTGGCCTGGGACAATGGTGTAGTCTGGCCTGGTATATACCTTTAAACTGTGTATTGATGGATGTTTGACAATGGTGTAGTCTGGCCTTGTATATATACCTTTAAATCCCTGTTTGACAATATTATGGCCTTGTATATATACCTTTAAATCCCTGTTTGACAATGGTGTAGTCTGGCCTTGTATATATACCTTTAAATCCCTGTGTATTATGGGCGTTTGACAATGGTGTAGTCTGGCCTTGTATATATACCTTTAAATCCCTGTGTATAATGGGCGTTTGACAATGGTGTAGTCTGGCCTTGTATATATACCTTTAAATCCCTGTGTATAATGGGCATTTGACAATGGTGTAGTCTGGCCTTGTATATATACCTTTAAATCCCTGTGTATAATGGGCGTTTGACAATGGTGTAGTCTGGCCTGTGTATTATATGTTTATACCTGGTATTTAAATCCCTGTGTATAATGGGCGTTTGACAAATGGTGTAGTCTTTAAATCCCTTGTAGTCTGGCCTGGTATATTTACCTTTAAATCCCTGTGTATTATGGACGTTTGACAATGGTGTAGTCTGGCCTTGTATATATACCTTTAAATCCCTGTGTATTATGGACGTTTGACAATGGTGTAGTCTGGCCTTGTATATTTACCTTTAAATCTCTGTGTATTATGGACGTTTGACAATGGTGTAGTCTGGCCTGGTATATATACATTTGAATCCCTGTGTATAATGGGTATTTGACAATGGTGTAGTCTGGCCTTGTATATACCTTTATATATACAATGGTGTAGTCTGGCCTTGTATATATACCTTTAAATCCCTGTGTATAATGGGCATTTGACAATGGTGTAGTCTGGCCTTGTATATATACCTTTAAATCCCTGTGTATTATGGGCGTTTGACAATGGTGTAGTCTGGCCTGGTATATATACCTTTAAATCCCTGTGTATTATGGGCGTTTGACAATGGTGTAGTCTGGCCTGGTATATTTACCTTTAAATCCCTGTGTATAATGGGCGTTTGACAATGGTGTAGTCTGGCCTTGTATATTTACCTTTAAATCCCTGTGTATAATGGGCGTTTGACAATGGTGTAGTCTGGCCTGGTATATTTACCTTTAAATCCCTGTGTATTATGGGCGTTTGACAATGGTGTAGTCTTGCTACTGCTTCACATACATCACAGAATATCCGCAGTACTTCCTTCTCCGAAAATCCCACATTCAATCGTTCATTCATTAGTTGTATCACATGACCTAAAAAGATCCGAAGACTTTACTTTTATTTCATTTATCGTCAAGTATTGTGTAGTAAGCCCTAAGATAAATACTATAAAACAACCTGGTTCCAACGTAAAAAAAAATTGATGTTTGTAATATCAAACATATATCAAACGCATCAAACACTGGATATCTTAACTATTGTAATGATTTAAGCCTACCAAGAAATGAAAATTTTCTTAAGTTTGGCAAATACAATGATCCAACACTACAATTTTTGTTATAAACCAACTATGAAAACTAATGCATTTTTATCATCTTCTCTCCACCATGTCACCTTACTTCCTATCTATCTGTCATTTACACCAATTCAAATCATTCAGTGCATTGGGTCTCCTCACCAGACAAAACGTTTCTCTATTTCACTGCAGGGATATTTATCAATGTTATTTCACTGAGTCAGTATCTGTAAATACTCACCTCTACAATACTGCATTAATATCATCACCTCGTATACACGGTTGGTTGTTACTGTTATACTGGAGTCAACATATTTGATGATATTCTTATGTCCTGATAATGTTTTCTGTGAAAGAAAAACATGTTTTATAAGTATGTATGTTTAAGTTTTTAAAGATGAGTTTACTGCCCCATGGACAGTCAGAGTCATTTTGAGGCAGGATCTCCTTGTAGAAACTGGTGGCTATCCCACCGAACAACACACAGGAGGCCCATTATATACCATCAAGAGCAGTAAGGGTACAGCGTACTTGATGTGGGACACAACCACCAACTAGTTTGTTTCTCAGCTTCCTGAGAAAATTCTAATATATATTTTATGATATGGTATTATAATGATATATAATAAAAACAATATATACATTTGTTTTGGCTTGAACAAAATGCTTTGGGATATCAATTCTTGACATTGGCATATTGGAGGGTTTAAAGCTTTAATTCAGATCAAAATACTGTAAGAGGATATAGTACAATGTGATTAGAGGATCCTTGTGGAGTAATTTACCTGTATGTAAGCCCCATCGTCACTCAACAAATTTTAACATTGTCTAGAAAACACTACTCACAGTAACATGCAAAGTAAATGGTTGTAAAAACATATCACTGTTCGTATTTAGTCATTGTGCACTTGTATTTGTATAGAGAAGGTATAAAAATGTCTACTCCTAGGAAAAGAAAAATACTTAACATAAAGACCAAATATTGTATGATGTAGACAAAGGATTACACTCTTAAAGCGTCATCGCTGAAGCTTATGGAATACCACTGAATTCCTTGAGCACTTTATTAAAAAATCAGCAGCAGACAGAAAGTGCATTCAATACTAGAACTTTCAGTCCTAAACATAAATATCTACATGTTGCAAACCACTCAGATATCAAGGAAGCCCTTTAAAATGGTTCTAAAAGGGACAAAAGCATTCCTGTAAACAGACCTATATTATCTGCAAAGGCGGAGGAACTTGTTGTCGAACTTGGCTATGATGATTCTAAATCTTTAAATAGTTTTATTGAATGTTTTAAAAAGAAGAATGGTATATCAAGTAAAGTGTCCGCAGGTGAAAGTTCATAGGTGTGTCAGGAAACTGGAGAAGAGTGGAAAAATAAAGCTGGGGAATTATTGAAAATTACACACCAGACAATATATTTAATGCCGATGAGACTTCTTCAAACTCACGCCTAATCACACATTAACATTAAATGGGGAAAACTGTCATGGGGAATAGAAAAGTAAGGAACATCCACACATCAAGGGTTTGAAGTCAAAAAAACTTCCTCCCTCCGAGTACAACATTGAAATTCCAACCTATGGACCACGGTACAATAAACAATTTGAAACAAAAATATCTCAATATTCCTCCTTGAATACACGCTGAAATGCTTTGAAAAATTGTAACTCCTGAAATTGATCTTTGACATGCCGTTGACCTGCTATATTACACGTAGAAATGTGTCACACCTACCACAATTTGTAACTGTTTTCTGAAGGTCAGAATCTCATAAAAAGAGGTCGTGACCTTGGTGAGTGACAGTTCTGGCGACAATGACAATACCCTGTTAGCTATACTAGCCAATGAATGGCGAGTTATCTCAGAAAACCATATTTCTTTCACAGACAGTAACTACTGAACAACAGACACAAAATGACCATTATTGATGAAGTGAAAACCAAAACAACAGACAAATCACAACCAGACGACACAGACTTGGACAGCAATTGTAGCAAAGTTTGATTTCTACAAAGTATTTTTGACGGTCGCATTGACTTCCCAAAAAGTTTATTGTATATCCATATCGTCTACTGGAACCTTTTACACAGAGACAACATGACCAGAAGTTGATGTTCACTCACCGCTATGTGAATCTCTCTTCTACACACTGTCAGATCCTGATCGTTGTTCACAAACAGACGTTTCAGAGCATAATGGTTACCATTCTGAGCCTTCACCAAGAACACAATAGCAAATCCACCTGAAAATAAAACAAAAATCTTAAACATCATTGTAATGATTAAGTAAAGGTAGCTATTGAGTGCGAGAAATATAATATTTATTCAAATAAAATATCTCTATTTCCTAAATATCACAGGAAACTGGAAATTGTTAAGAGAAAGATTGTTATTTTGTTTTTTGCCATACATAATTGTTTTAGCAGTGTTTTGTTAATGAGCTTTAAAAGGCATTATCTAGACAAGGAGCAGGCAATACATAGCTCCGTTACACATCAATACAATCCAGACAAGGAGCAGGCAATACATAGCTCCGTTACACATCAATACAATCCAGACAAGGAGCAGGCAATACATAGCTCCGTTACACATCAATACAATCCAGACAAGGAGCAGGCAATACATAGCTCCGTTACACATCAATACAATCTAGACAAGGACAAGGCAATACATAGCTCCGTTACACATCAATACAATCTAGACAAGGCAATACATAGCTCCGTTACACATCAATACAATCTAGACAAGGCAATACATAGCTCCGTTACACATCAATACAATCTAGACAAGGAGCAGGCAATACATAGCTCCGTTACACATCAATACAATCTAGACAAGGCAATACATAGCTCCGTTACACATCAATACAATCTAGACAAGGCAATACATAGCTCCGTTACACATCAATACAATCTAGACAAGGAGCAGGCAATACATAGCTCCGTTACACATCAATACAATCCAGACAAGGAGCAGGCAATACATAGCTCCGTTACACATCAATACAATCTAGACAAGGAGCATGCAATACATAGCTCCGTTACACATCAATACAATCTAGACAAGGAGCAGGCAATACATAGCTCCGTTACACATCAATACAATCTAGACAAGGAGCAGGCAATACATAGCTCCGTTACACATCAATACAATCTAGACAAGGCAATACATAGCTCCGTTACACATCAATACAATCCAGACAAGGACAAGGCAATACATAGCTCCGTTACACATCAATACAATCTAGACAAGGAGCAGGCAATACATAGCTCCGTTACACATCAATACAATCCAGACAAGGAGCAGGCAATACATAGCTCCGTTACACATCAATACAATCCAGACAAGGAGCAGGCAATACATAGCTCCGTTACACATCAATACAATCCAGACAAGGAGCAGGCAATACATAGCTCCGTTACACATCAATACAATCTAGACAAGGCAATACATAGCTCCGTTACACATCAATACAATCTAGACAAGGAGCAGGCAATACATAGCTCCGTTACACATCAATACAATCCAGACAAGAAGCAGGCAATACATAGCTCCGTTACACATCAATACAATCCAGACAAGGAGCAGGCAATACATAGCTCCGTTACACATCAATACAATCCAGACAAGGAGCAGGCAATACATAGCTCCGTTACACATCAATACAATCCAGACAAGGAGCAGGCAATACATAGCTCCGTTACACATCAATACAATCTAGACAAGGAGCAGGCAATACATAGCTCCGTTACACATCAATACAATCCAGACAAGGAGCAGGCAATACATAGCTCCGTTACACATCAATACAATCCAGACAAGGAGCAGGCAATACATAGCTCCGTTACACATCAATACAATCTAGACAAGGAGCAGGCAATACATAGCTCCGTTACACATCAATACAATCTAGACAAGGAGCAGGCAATACATAGCTCCGTTACACATCAATACAATCTAGACAAGGAGCAGGCAATACATAGCTCCGTTACACATCAATACAATCTAGACAAGGAGCAGGCAATACATAGCTCCGTTACACATCAATACAATCTACAATACATAGCTCCGTTACACATCAATACAATCTAGACAAGGAGCAGGCAATACATAGCTCCGTTACACATCAATACAATCTAGACAAGGAACAGGCAATACATAGCTCCGTTACACATCAATACAATCCAGACAAGGAGCAGGCAATACATAGCTCCGTTACACATCAATACAATCCAGACAAGGAGCAGGCAATACATAGCTCCGTTACACATCAATACAATCTAGACCAGGAACAGGCAATACATAGCTCCGTTACACATCAATACAATCAACAGTATCACTAATCCATGACAAATTCTATTTTATCTGAAATATCAAGAATGCCAAAGACTTCTTCCACTTGAAATCTTTATTCATTAATACACTTATTTTAGATTATTCTTTGTATTAGTACGGCAGTCTTTATCAAATGGACTTTGACACAGGATTGGTATTACAGACAGGAAAAGGAATTACCCTAACAACAAAATTGACATAGTTGTGTTAACTTTTTTTCACTATTTCACATTTTAGAATGGTTAATTTGTGAATGTTATGTTTATTTAAAGACTGAATAAATTTCTGTTTTAAATTTTCTCCCAACATTTGTAAAACCATTCAAGTATACTAAACACAATGCCCATTTTAAATTCCAAGATCACTTAGATTAATGATTGTAAGTACTCGTGACCACCATAATATTTACAAACAAAGTACTTGTGAAGCCAATTGAAGCCTTCCTTTACCACAAAGTCAGCTGTTTCATAAGCCTGAGAACCTCCACTAAACAATTTACTTGACTGACATATGTGACGCTTGACTCACGCGATATCCATTGTTGAAATTTAAATCAAACTGATCTTTCCATTAGAAAAATCTTGTGCATCCTCATGACCATTGTAACTGATCTATATGTTATACAGATACATTGAATAAAAGTACAGAATTCAATGCAAACAATATTTTACTATATATGTCAAGTGAATGACTCATACTTAACATAGACAAGAAATTCTCTATTTTGACTGATGAGGTGACTTGATTACATAAGCGCTCAATACCTCAGTCATCTCCCTAAATCACTGCTATAACATGTCCACAGTACACAGGTATCTCTGTCATATCCGTAAATCACTGCTATAACATGTCCACAGTACACAGGTATCTCTGTCATCTCCCTAAATCACTGCTATAACATGTCCACAGTACACAGGTACCTGTCATCTCCCTAAATCACTGCTATAACATGTCCACAGTACACAGGTATCTCTGTCATCTCCCTAAATCACTGCTATAACATGTCCACAGTACACAGGTATCTCTGTCATCTCCCTAAATCACTGCTATAACATGTCCACAGTACACAGGTACCTGTCATCTCCCTAAATCACTGCTATAACATGTCCACAGTACACAGGTATCTCTGTCATCTCCCTAAATCACTGCTATAACATGTCCACAGTACACAGGTATCTCTGTCATCTCCCTAAATCACTGCTATAACATGTCCACAGTACACAGGTACCTCTGTCATCTCCCTAAATCACTGCTATAACATGTCCACTGTACACAGGTACCTCTGTCATCTCCTTAAATCACTGCTATAACATGTCCACAGTACACAGGTACCTCTGTCATATCCCTAAATCACTGCTATAACATGTCCACAGTACACAGGTACCTGTCATCTCCCTAAATCACTGCTATAACATGTCCACAGTACACAGGTATCTCTGTCATGTCCCTAAATCACTGCTATAACATGTCCACAGTACACAGGTATCTCTGTCATCTCCCTAAATCACTGCTATAACATGTCCACAGTACACAGGTACCTCTGTCATCTCCCTAAATCACTGCTATAACATGTCCACTGTACACAGGTACCTCTGTCATCTCCCTAAATCACTGCTATAACATGTCCACAGTACACAGGTACCTCTGTCATATCCCTAAATCACTGCTATAACATGTCCACAGTACACAGGTATCTCTGTCATCTCCCTAAATCACTGCTATAACATGTCCACAGTACACAGGTACCTCTGTCATCTCCCTAAATCACTGCTATAACATGTCCACTGTACACAGGTACCTCTGTCATCTCCCTAAATCACTGCTATAACATGTCCACAGTACACAGGTACCTCTGTCATATCCGTAAATCACTGCTATAACATGTCCACAGTACACAGGTATCTCTGTCATCTCCCTAAATCACTGCTATAACATGTCCACAGTACACAGGTATCTCTGTCATCTCCCTAAATCACTGCTATAACATGTCCACAGTACACAGGTATCTCTGTCATCTCCCTAAATCACTGCTATAACATGTCCACAGTACACAGGTACCTCTGTCATCTCCCTAAATCACTGCTATAACATGTCCACAGTACACAGGTACCTGTAATATCCCTAAATCACTGCTATAACATGTCCACAGTACACAGGTATCTCTGTCATCTCCCTAAATCACTGCTATAACATGTCCACAGTACACAGGTACCTCTGTCATCTCCCTAAATCACTGCTATAACATGTCCACAGTACACAGGTATCTCTGTCATCTCCTTAAATCACTGCTATAACATGTCCACAGTACACAGGTATCTCTGTCATCTCCCTAAATCACTGCTATAACATGTCCACAGTACACAGGTATCTCTGTCATCTCCCTAAATTACTGCTATAACATGTCCACAGTACACAGGTATCTCTGTCATCTCCCTAAATTACTGCTATAACATGTCCACAGTACACAGGTATCTCTGTCATCTCCCTAAATCACTGCTATAACATGTCCACAGTACACAGGTATCTCTGTCATCTCCCTAAATCACTGCTATAACATGTCCACAGTACACAGGTATCTCTGTCATCTCCCTAAATCACTGCTATAACATGTCCACAGTACACAGGTACCTGTCATATCCCTAAATCACTGCTATAACATGTCCACAGTACACAGGTACCTGTCATCTCCCTAAATCACTGCTATAACATGTCCACAGTACACAGGTATCTCTGTCATCTCCCTAAATCACTGCTATAACATGTCCACAGTACACAGGTACCTCTGTCATCTCCCTAAATCACTGCTATAACATGTCCACAGTACACAGGTACCTCTGTCATCTCCCTAAATCACTGCTATAACATGCCCTAAGTATAATTTATACAGCTACAATTCTGGTATTAAAAA